AACAATAATAACATCAAGCCTTTGTCCCACTATGTAGGGTCGGCTAATTACAAAAAATAAAACAAAATAAAATAAAACAAAACAAGACAACTGAATAAATGGAAGTTTTTGAATGATAGTTTTCCAAGAATTATAGTGATGAAGCCAAGAAAGTAATTAAGTGCAAGATTTATGAAGTAAGAAATACACTAAATGTACAATAAGCCTACCTTTCTTCAAGCACTGCAGAGCCTTCTTCAAATAGTTCTTCAATAGCCCCAACAGAAGAAGATTTATTTGTGAGCTTGCTGAAAGAATTTTGAGGCATCCCAAAAAGTAGAGATTTAAACTTATTCCGGTACTTCCTAGGAGATGCTGGTAAATTGGAATGATCCAATGGAATGATATCAACAACCAAACAAGTTGTATCATCCTTAAGGCCACTTGTTCTCAAGGCTTCCTAAATGAATCAAGTGAATAATGATTGAACAACACACAACTACAATAAACTACAATAAGAACAATAACAAAGCAACAAGAAACAAGAGGATGAAGACCATTTATGATTAGCGTCACCTTAACAACCAATTTGGCAGCAAGCTCAGTAGACAATCCTCGACAACACTTGGCAGCCATCTCAGATGAAAGTGCATCCCATATGCCATCTGAAGCTATAATTAGTCGAGCTCCGGATTCTGGAAGCTGCTCAGCAACCAACATGCCATGTTAAATAAAGCCATAGAATGCTGTGAAGCATGGACCAGAAGATAACTAACTTTAACTTGCTTAACATGAGGAATCGGGACTATAAATTCCCCAACATCCATATCGCCAATCGACCTTGAGAGGCACAATCCACCAGGCCAGCATCGGAGAGGACCAACCTAAGGAGAAAGCAAACACGTACACAATGCCATCATATAATCTTGCTTTTGGGAGGAACTGGAAAAAGGAAATATTGCAATAGAGCTCATTTATAGTAAATTATCTTGAAATTTCTTTGGTACAGAAAAATTTTCTTAGTAAAAAACCCAGCTTAGTCAGACAGACACAACAATGAAAGAAATCAAAAATCCAAAACTGAATGTGAATTAAGTTATAAAAGAAATTGCATCTACTTGACTGGAGAAGCAGAATTTGATAATCAATGTAACGGACAGAAAAAAGAAAAAACAAAGAAAAAAAATAAGTTAAAAATTTGTTGTAATTATAGGGGAATGAAATTTATGAATCACACAATTAAATGGGC